TACAGCAGTGTCACAGATCCAAGAAATCGGGGATCTTAGAGATCTCCATGGAGATCTCCAATATAACAGTATTTCCACCACACTAATACATTACTCATATTAGATACTAGCCTTTCTCCCTACAAGAAATACTACCTCTCATCACATCTCTATAAGAGATACCCCATCTCTAGCCAGATCTGTGTAAGTGATGCCGCATCTCTAGGATCTCCATCTCCATATGCAAAATTTTCTTTTTAAATTATAGCCTAGGAATGACGCTAGAGATGCGACATCTCTGTAGGAGACACTGCATCTCTAGTCAGATCTCTGTGAGAGATGCCGCATCTCTAGCATGCCCATCTACGCATGAAAATTCTTTTTGATAGATTTTAGCCTAGGGATGACCATAGAGATGCGGCATCTCTGTAAGAGACACCGCATCTCTTGTCAGATCTCTGTAAGAGATGTGGCATCTCTGAGCAGATCTCTGTAAGAGATGCGGCGTCTCTGAGCAGATCTATTTAAGAGATGCCGCATCTCTAAGATCTCCCTCTCCTGATGACAAATTATTTTGGTAGTCGTAGCTAGGAGTGATATTAGGGTCCATACCTTACGAAGAGTTCTTGCTTAATGCGGGCGTAGGAATGATGCTGGAGATGCAGCTGCTTACAGAGATGCCGTATATCTTTTTTTTACATCTCCTGATAAAGATGATTTATTTTTAATTTTAGCTTAGGAATCGTGCGTGACTAGTTAGTGCATTGCATTGACTGACATATACAAGGCACAGGATATATAGGAGATATACAACACATAGGAGATATAGGAGACATAGCAGATATAGAATCTATAAGAAATACAAAAGCTCCACTGTCAATGAAGAAATGACAAGAAAATACCATTTTGGACGAAACTTTTCACAGGAACAAGCTAGAGAGTTGCAGTTTTCAATGTTGGAAACAGCAAAATCACAACGCATGGAACCATATGTTACAGACTATTCATTCAGTGTTTCTAATGTTTTCAATTAAACTTTTTCTGTAACAACGCTCTTGATAGGAGACTACAACGAATTCCCACCTAGCTGCTATGTATTGCAATCAACACGCCAAACTCCCTATAACAGTGTATCACTGCCATTCGCACAATCACTCGTCCAGCAGCTAAAACTATTCTACTCGAAACTAGAAACCGGTTTCCTCAAACATTTCGTGCGAAGAATCCAACCTTTTTCTCTTCAAGGTGAGGGTATTACTATAAATGAACTACAAACACCTATCCACACAATCAAAAACCAAAAAGATTCAATTTCCTCCACTCACGTTATAAATACGAAACCCCTTATACAATCATGACTGTCTCAGTCCTAGGTCAACACATCCATCGAGAAGCTGACAAAAATTCAAACCGAAATTTCATCGATAACAACTAAAACCAAATCAACAGTCACACAGAATCGCAGGAGAAGTGGGTGCGCCGAAAGGAGTTTCACCGGTTACGACTCACACGAACCACACTCGCACACAATCGCAGCAGGTGTGGGTGCCGCGAAGGAGGTTTCACCGGTTACGACTCACACGAACCACACTCACACACAATCGCAGGAGGTGTGGGTGCCCCGAATCGGGTTCCACCGGTTACGACTCACATGAACCACACTCGCAGACAATCGCAGCAGGTGTGGGTGCGCCGAAAGGAGTTTCACCAGTTCCGACTCACATGAACCATTCACACACAATCGCAGCTGTTGTGGGTGCGCCGAAAGGAGTTTCACTAGTTACGTCTTACAGGGACCACACTCACACACTATCGGAGAAAGTGTGGGTGCGGAGAAATGTGTTAACGGGTTACCACTGAGAGCTGGACCGCAATCGCGTCCGAGAACTTGCGGTTTGGCAAAAGGAGTGGCCTCGGTGCATGAAAGATTACTGGATAGTTGCTGAGTGTGCTGCAAAAGCAGTGAACGTGGATATAGATCCGTGAGATGGGAGCTGTTTTTAATGATACGTGAGGGGTGAATATTAAACAAGGTAGGTGAGGTTGACGTCGACCCGATCTTTTCACGACAGAGGTATATGTCGCAGCACGTAGAAAGAGTTGCGATTAATGTGCATATGATAGAGATTTGTGGTATTGAAGCAAGTAAATCATGTTGCTCGGAACAGTTGCTGTGTTGTGTGGTGAATTCGAACGTTTTCTTGGCATATAACTTTCAGACAGGTTTGGAGAATGCACAGTGAAGGGCACGAGAGTGGGATTGATTAGTTTCAGTGTGCTGCAAGTCGTCGATGTTCCGAAGCGCATACCTGCTACATAGGAAAGGGGAGAGTGGTTGCAACTGAGTAGGATTTTCCTTACGGTCGAACTAAACAGGGCACAACACTGTCCTACCGGTTGTTAATATTATAATTCTCAGCAACATTCGATGCTTAAAGCTTTTTGAACGATTTACTCTGTCTTCCAACACTTCTGGAGTCCCCTCGAAAGCATTTCATAGAATTTAGGTCGTGGACTTGCACTTTCACCCGTTCTGTATGGTGGTTGTATCTAATCCACATCGATAAGTCTTCTGCCATAGCGGTGGCTTTCATCGTAAGTACCACTTAATTTACACCTCGCTATCAGTTCAAATTGTCTTTACATTTCGACCGACCTCTGATAAATACTATGAATCCTACGTATCCTTCGACCTACTTCTGCTCGTCATGCCTAATCTCTGTCCCATTTCACTAATATCCCTGATCTGTGTTCCTTCTTGTATCTCTTCGATTTATCTCCCATCTATGACGGAAAATCTGCCTCAGACTAAACCTAAATGCCGTTCCTACGAAACTTGCCGAAGACTTCTACGTCACCCAAACGTGAAAGCTAAACAGAAACCGTTTTCGCTACGACTGCCTCCATGTGCAGCTGCGCTTACTGGTATCGTACATCTCCTACACATGCCGGCTCTATGTAACTAGATGCATCACTATGGTCATCCCTCAGCTGAACGTCACGAAAAAAAAGTTTTCATACGGAGACCGCGATCCTTCAGATGCGGCACCTCTTACAGAGACGCCGCATCTCTTTCAGGAAATGCATCTCTAGGGTCATCCCTGGGCTGAAATTTATGAAAAATGTTTTCATGCGGAGATGGGCTTGCTCGTGATGCCGCATCTCTTACATAGATCTGCTCAGAGATGCCGCATCTCTTACAGAGATCTGCTCAGAGATGCCGAATCTCTTACAGAGATATGACTAGAGATGCGGTGTCTCTTACAGAGATGCCGCATCTCTGCAAGGGAATGCATCTCTAGGGTCATCCCTAGGCTAAAATTTCTCGAAAAAATTTTTCATTCAGAGATGGAGATGGCCGAGTTACGGTATCTCTTATAGAGATTTGATGAGGGATTGGATGTTGTTTCTAGAGAAGAATTGTAATAGCGAGTCTGTCTAATGTTCGGGTTGCATGTAAATACTGTGATATTGCGGATCTCCATGGAGAACTCTGGAGATCTCTAAGATCCCCGATTTCTCGGATCTGTGACACGATTCATATATATATATATATAAATAAAGAATAATTTTAATTTAAGAAATAATTTATTTAGCTAAAGAAAAAAGAACAAAGCAGAATATATACACACAAACAAAAGTCAAGCTTCCATTTCAAGGAAGCAAAGAAAATTTTTTTTTTTGTCATTACTATTCAAAATGAATTCTTTCCCAAAGAGATACATTGACTAGCAAAACAGAACAACAATAGAAGAAACAGAGCAGCTTGAGAGTTTTTCTTTATATGATTGCTCAATTTTTTTTTCACTAACACACACACACTCACACGAAGACACGAATCAATGAGCTCGAAACAAAAAATCTTCTAAGTATGTAAATTCACTTACAGACCCATTTTTATTTCTTGTTAAAAATTCTGTGACTGTGACCTAGATAGATATAAATATTACTTTCTATTCATTCAATCTTTACTTCTTATTCTTTTTTTAGGTTCTCGAAGTTTTATAGAATTATTTATTTAGTAGAAAAAAAAAAAGAAAATTTTAGTTATACTTGATAACAATAGAGTCCATAAAATTTTGGTAAAAGTGTACGTTGATTTTGTGTAGCATTCTAAAATCAGAAAAATAGATTCACTTCAATATAAAATAATCTATAAATAATAACCATATAATAACCAGGAAGAAGAGATTTTAAAAATTCTGCTTCTTTTTTTTGTACTGTTTTTATAATAAATTCATCATCTGATGTTAAATAAAATAAACTTCCACTTGCATCAGGATTTTTTTAATTCACGAAAAAGTTTACATATTGAAGACTACAAAAAGAAAAAGAACAAATAATTATTAAAAATTATTCTAAAAATCTTTACTAAATAATCTTCTGGTTTAATATTAAAATTTTCTCGAAAATGTCGAAATGCAACAGGAGCATATGAACTAATTGTAAAATCACTAAAACGATGTGGTGCTGTGGCTTTTGGTATTGTTCTTCCAGTTCTATATGAACAAAAAAAAAAAACAAAATTTTTATTCAAAACAAAATTCTTATTTTTATTACTTTGGAAAATGTACTATTTCAACAGCGAGAAAATCTTCACAAAGTACATCATGTGCTGGTCTTGCTTCTAAACCACCAACACTATATGGAATACTTAGTTGAAGTGCTTCAACAAGTTGATTAGTTGGTAAACGTTTAAATGTTGCATTGCCTTGAGTATCAACATGTAAATGTCCTAGTTTATGTCTTTTACATAAAAAAAAAAAAAAAATTTTAATTTAAAAAATAAGCAGAAGAAATTAATTTTCATACCAATATCAACACTTTCGCCATCTTGTGAATCGTCAGCCATCGTAAATATTTCAACAGATTGTGATATTGATAATAAGTAAAATGTCGGAAGAAAATGTATTTGTATGTGTGTGTGTATGTAAATGTATTTTTTTTTTCTTTATCTTTTGTAAAATGGAAACTAGCGTAGAAAAAAAAAAGAAAAGTAATAGACAAGAGAACTTTAAAAAAAGACGCTGAAAGGTAAAGGAGAAAAAGGAAAAGAAAATTTATATACAAGTGTAGTTAACCAATCGACAGTTTCTTAAAAGGAAAATCTTTATGAATACTACCCATGAAAAATTTTTTTGTGAAAAACCGCTCGAAACCGCGGTTTCACAAACTGTGGTAATCAACGGTTTTTGAAACCGCGAAAGTCAGACCTTTTATGCGGTTTTTCAAAACCGTCAAGAACCGCGGGAATTTCACACCGCGGTTTTCACCGGTATTCAAAATCGCATAAAAGGTCTGACTTTCCCGGTTTTCTGAACCGTTGGAAACCGCGGTTTATTGGACCGCTATATACCGCGGTTTTCGTAGTCACACCTGACACAGGTATGACCAGACTCGCCGGAACTTTCGAAAACGTTCAGGTGAGCCGCCCTTCGAGGGGCACTGTAGTGAACTTTTAGAAATTCCATTACCACAAAGTTACATTGTAGTGAGAGATAGAAGAAGAAAACTTATTTAAAAATTTCATGAAAATAGCAGGGCACGACATCCTCTTCGTCCATACACATTCCATTACGATGGTATAAGCACCAGACATAGTGCCGTTCTTCAGCTGAAAACTGCGGTTATCAATAACGCGGTTATTCGGCGGCACACCGCGGTTTCTAAGACCGCTGAATACCGAGATATTTGCCACCGCGATTACTAACGACTATACCGCGATTTATGAAACCGCTCAATACCGTGTTATTTACCATCACAATTTCTCATGCCTGTACAGCGGTTTTTGAAAACTCTTAATACTGTGCTATTTATCACCGCAATTACTGATTTCTATACCGCGGTTTTCGAAATCGCTCAATACCGCGGTATTTGCCACCACGGTTACTGACGGCTATTCCACGGTTTTTGAAACAGCTCAATCCCACGGAAAAATTTTTGAACAAAAATCGCGAGAAACCGCGGTTTCACAAACTACGGTAATCAACGGTTTTCCGAAACCGCGAAAGTCAGACCTTTTATGCGGTTTTTGAAAACCGCCAAGAACCGCGGTAATTTCACACCGCGATTTTCACCGGTATCGAAAGCCGCATAAAAGGTCTGACTTTCGCGGTTTCGAAAAACCATTGACTACCGCGGTCTGGAAAAACTGCATTAAAGGTCTGACTTTCGCGGTTTATTCAAGCGGTGATGACCACAGTGTACCAATACCGGAGTTTTTGGTGGTTTTAAAAAACCGAATAAAAGGTCTGACTTTCGCGGTTTCCTGGAACCGCTGGAAAACGCGGCTTTCATGACCATACCTGATTCAGGTATGATCAGACTCACCTGAACTTATGATAAAGTTCAGGTGAGCGATCCTTCAAGGGGTTTTTAGTGGACTTTAAAAGTTTCATTACCACAAAGTTACTTTGTAGTGAGAGATAGGATAAGAAAACTTATGCAAAATTTTCATGAAAATAGCGGGGCACGACATCCTCTTCGTCCTTACACATTCCATCGCGATGGTTTAAGCATCAAAAATACCGCGGTTTCTCTTCTGAAAAACGTGGTAATAAATAACGCGATTATTCGATAGCATACCGCAGTTTCTGAAACCGCTGAATGCTGTGGTATTTGCAACCACAGTTACTAATGACTATACCGCGGTTTTATAAACCATTGAATACCGTATTATTTATCACCGCGGTTACTGATGGTTACACCGCGGTTTTAGAAACCGCTGAATATCGTGGTATTTATTACCGCAATAAATAATGACTATACCGCAGCTTTTGAAATCGTTCAATACCGGCCTTATTAACCACCGCGACTACTAATGACTATACAGCGGTTTTAGAAACCGCTAGATACCGCGGTGTTTATCACCGCAATTACTGATGACTGTACCGCGGTTTTAGAAACCGTTCAATGCCGCGGTATTTACCACCGCGACTATTAGTGACTATACCGCATTTTTGAAAACCACTCAATACCACGATGTTTACCACCGCGAGTATTGATGACTATACCGCGGTTTCTGAAACCACTGAATACTGCGGTATTTATTACCGCAATAACTAATGACTATATCGCAATTTTCGAAACCGCTTAGTACCGCCCTACTTACCGCCACGGTTACCGATGAATATACCGCAGTTTAAAAAACCACTCAATACTGCGGTATTTATCATCTCGGTTACTGATGACTATACCGCGGTTTTGAAAACCGTTGAATACCGTGCTATGAAATACCGCGGTTTCCAATTACCATACCGCGACTTTTTAGACCGTTGAATACTGCGGTATTTAGAACCGCGATCATGAATACGAGCAACGCGGTTTCAGAAAACGCGGTTAAAAAAAACCGCTACCAACCGCGGTTATCCAATCCAAACTGCGGTTTCCTCTAGTAAAACCGCGGTCGAATGAAAAAAATCGCGGTTTTGAGCGGTTTTTCGAAAAAAAATTTTCCGTGGGTATCGAGGTATTTGCCACCGAGGTTACTAAGGACTATACCGCGATTTTAAAAACTGTTGAGTACCGGATTATGCAATACCGCCGTTTCCAACAACTATATCGCAATTTTTTAGACCGTTGAATACGCCGGTATTTAGAACTGCGGTCCTGAATACGAGCAACGCGGTTTCAAAAAACCGCGGTTCAAGAAAACCGCCATCAACCACGGTTATGCAATTGAAACCGCGGTTCCCTCCAGTAAAATCGCGGTTTTGAGCGGTTTTTTGAAAAAAATTTTCCATGGGTAGAGCCCTCTTCTGGAGTCAATAATGAAATTCATGTAGGAATAAAAATAATATAGAACAATTATATATGAATACAAATTTAGAAAGAAAAGTTCTTTTTTTTTATAAGAAAATGATTTTTAGAACGATATTAGGTATTCAATTTGAAAATTCAAAAAATATTGATATAACTAATTTCGAGATGTAGCAAAAAAATTGCACTTATTTACGAAGAAGTTTTTGCTACATTACCAAGTAATCATGTTAGAAAATTTGCAGAAGTTGGTGAATATAATGATAAATCAAAAATGAAAGATACTGATCCGATTAGAGTAAAATATTTAAATAAATTTTATTTCATTTTTATTAGTTTTGGTTTTTTTAAGACACAAGAAAAATTAAAAAGTATACAAGATTTTATTGTTGTATATTCATTTTATTTTCTTGATGAAGAAAATTATTTACTCAGTTTTCAAACTCGTGAAAGTGAAATCTTATTAATTAATTCATTGTTTTTTTTTCTCAACGATTATTTATTTTATTTTTTTTTTTTTATGGAGATTGTTCGTAACGTTCTCTGGGCGCTAGGACAATTCGTCGCACGGACAATTCGTCGCATGGGCAATTCGTCGCATACGTAATTAATTCATATGAATGAACTTATGTCCATTTACTTAATTGATTTAAGTGAATTTGTTTTTCAATTAATGAATAAATATTGATTTTTGAATAACTGTGTTATCATTCGAAAGCCAAATCCAATTTTCTAATACGATTTTTAGAAGATTGAGAAAAATTAATCAATCTAAAGATTTAATATAAAAGATTCCAAAAACAGAATAATGTCACTCAATATAGATAGAATTATTTTTT